CACAAATAGCCATTTGCACAGACCATCATGATTTATGATATTTTCCATGCCATTAGCTTTGGTTTGTAGCCGTTTTACACACAATCAAATGCATTAGCATAATCCTTAAAAACATTCTGATGCAAAAAATACCATTTTTCCAACAATTTGTTCATCACACACGCAGTGTTTACAACTGCACTTGGGAGTACAGCCTCAAAGCCTTCCCAGAGGTGTGCTCTCACCAGTACAAACCCACTCAGCCCAATCTCCTTCCAGCCATGGTGAGCACTGTTACCCTCTCCTACAACAAACATGAGCATTCTGCACATTTAGCCACAAGCTGAGCCAGCCTCTCTCTTCCCTTGGCTCCTTAAACAAAGCCCACTCAAAGAAGAGCTGATGTGCTCGTATCAATGGGCACATTTGGTGGTGCTGAGGCTGTAGCTGTGAAGAAATGGGATTCATGGACATCATCAAGGCAGAACTGGTTGGGTGCCATGGTGCTACAGTTAGAAGGACCAACGCAGCAGAAGAGCAATACAGGAGTATAATAGCAAAGGGACCAGTGCAAATGGAATGGCGTTACAAAGGAAAAGCACTCACCTGTCTCTGAAGGTCTACGCTCACAGGGAAAACTCCTCAACGGAGGGGAGCCAGGCTCCACCCCTTCCTATCACAGCTGAATTGCCCTCACCTGTGCTCCCAGGGCTGATGGGGTCCTTTCCCTGGTGCTCAATCAGTGGTTCGGGCCGTGACTCAACAGTTCCCATACACGGCTAATAATGGAATTACATCATCAGCTGCATCAATCTTCAAGTCACACGCCCTACCAAAGTTGGGTAAAGCCAGAAGCATGCCTCCTTTTCTCTTTCCTCAAGCATTCCTGTGTATACAGCAAAGCAGCCCCATGGCCAATGAAATGTTTTCCTAAGAACTGAAAGTCACTGCAGTGCCTCAGCTTGAGCCTTAATTTTAAGATCAGACACATTAAATGGGGGGGAAGAGGCAACGGTAAAGATGGTGAATAAAAAAGGACTTTGCTCCATAACTCATCTTGAGCACGCCTTACCACAGGGTTTGCACAGTGTGTCACACCAGAACCTCCTTTCAGTTCCAGAAAACAAACCCTGTATTTACACTGATGTTTTTAATATTGTACTAATTACCACAGGTATAATTTTTAAGACTGCATCTCGAAATCAGAAGCTAATACAGTTGCACTTGGATTTGCCAGCTGTGCAATAGCTTGCCCTAATTTTAGATTAACAGCTCTGGAGACCTGCTCAGAAGAGTGAGACTGACAGACTTTTTAATGGAGAAAATCTGAGCTCCCCTGGGATCCATACTTTCTCAGACATAGTCAGAAATCCCAGCGGCGCTCGTTGAAAGGATCCCAGGATGGAAAATGACATCTCCCTCAGCATTAGTGCTTTGCATTCTGATGTCGGTCCTCCAAATACTCTCTCCCTTCACATTCTTGCCACCTCTTTGGGATTTTTAGCAGCAGCAGAGCAGAACGCGTTCCTCGAATGCTTTAACCCAGCGCCATGTGCCAAACTGGAACGAAGGAACTTGAATCTTTATAAATAGATAAATTATCCACCCAAAACATGTCATTTAAAATTGAGATGCTGACACAGCCTTAGCTACAGTACTGCTAAGCAGGGCTGTATCATTTTTCAATTAAATATCCTTGTTTCTTCTTCCAGAGAAACCTCTGGAGAAATGTCTCATTTGAGGGCAGACAGAGACAGAAAGTGACTCTGTCTGTCGGCTCCCAATTAAAGGCCAGGGAAGATGGATAGGAGGCACAGGCACCACCTAATAGAGATCAGATATCAACAATGATTTATGCAGTCAGATAGATACATATTCAAGTGAGGAAAAAAGAATGCCAACAGCCAAGGAGACATCACTTGCCTCCTCTGTCACCACCTGCCATCCATCTGCTCCTCTCTTCCCAGGTCCTGCTCCATCCTGGACCGCCCTGCTTTGCTGAGGGCCATCTTTGAGCCAATTCTGTCAGTCCCTTTCCTCCATCACACACCCCCATCCAAAGGCATGGGCCTTCCTGCATTCCAGAACTTGCTGTTTCTAGCAGAAATATGCACACACTTGCTCCTACACGCTGCATTACCTCTGCTCTCATGGATCTCTGATTGCCCAAGCACACTGAAGGATCATTGTAGGTTTGCCCTCAAAAATTGAAAGGATGAAAAGGATTTCCTCTTCATAATTCCAAACAGCACGTATCAAATTCACCTGCAGCAACACATCTGATACTGAAGTCTGCAAGATCTGGTCCTAAAGCAAAGCAGCTCACTCATCTCAGGACAGATGTTTCTAGCAGGGGCAAGTGACCCCCACAACTCTAAGAATACCAAGGCAGAGCAACTTGACCATCTGCTATGAGAACAGCTCCATAGTTGGAGGCTGATGCCCTCACAATGACGAAAGGCATTTGGGTTGAGCTTCTTAGAAGGTCTCAGCCCCTGTGCTGGTTGATGAGAGCTGAGGATGCTGAGTGCTGTTTGAGAAACGATCAGCCCCTGGCACAGAGGCTGGGCACCCTCACTTCTCCCCACTCACTGTGCTCATGGGAATTTTTGGTCCTAAAAATGTTATTTTATTTAAAGCAGCGACTCAGAATCTTCCGGTCCCTATTGAAAGAGATCTAAAAGATCCTGCCTGTCTGGAGAAAAGAAGTTTCTACTTGTCAGTTAAACAAAGGAATAACGCACAGCCTCCTTTACAGTGTGTACTTTACCTGTCATCCAACAGCCCATTATCATGTCACGGCAGAGTGCACTTTTCTACAGGTCACTTTGTTTAAAATGACATGGATAATGCACATGTCAGCGAGCTGACAGTCCCGACCGTCCTTCAGAGATAAAAACCACAAGACGAGCGCCTGTTCTTATCTGGGGTACATGCCTTGGTCTATCATCTAAGTCAGGCAGAACATGATTTCTCCAGAGAGCACTTTTTTCATTTCCTGATTTTAAGAAAATCAAATAAGCACCATTTGTCTTCATCTGAATATGCTTGACCTGCTCAAATGATGATGTCTCGCATTTTATAACAGGCTGCATATGCTGAATTCAAATTAACAGCGGCACAAGGCCTGAGATCTCTGCCTGCGCTGCAGCACACGATGAATGTGCACATCAGGGTAAGCAGGCATCTTCCAGAACTGGGCTTGAGCCCAACCCTGCTTCTGGGGTTTGAAAAACACTACATTACCAGGGATGCTCAGATCAGTGCTTAGTCTCATTTCATTGGGTGGGAAGAGAAAATACAGATCGCAGAGATGAAATGGGATGTCCAGGGTGAAGCACGGTCTGCAGTCTCCTGCACTGCATGGCAGACACAGCCCTCACCCACACACCACCACCACCCCAAAGCCACCCATTGCCTTTTACACAGGAGGGCTGTGAGGGAGAAATATGGGGGGGTTGGCAGAGGTTGGCTCTGAAGGCAGCAGGAAATTACACTTGTAGCTCTGGGTGCCATAAACATGGAAGCTGAGATTCAGTTTATCATCTCGTACTGCGTAAGGAACATCCTGAAAATGAGTAATCACTTCACAGGATGGGATGTAATGGCAACGCATTAAAAATTCATATCTAAAAGTGCAGGTTAATATTCTGTGCAAAAACCCAACAAAACCTCCCCTTTCTGTTGTCACACTGATTAACTCCAGTGATTAGTTCCCTTATGAAAGGGAAATCACTGCAGTTCAAAGTAAACAGTGGTTCTTTAACACAGTTAGCAAATTATTAAGAAACATGAGGAAAAAAAAACCCTACTTGGGAAATTACTGAAAGCTGAAGGGCAAAGCTTTGGCAATTGTATACAGGATACTTTGAAAATTTCCTGGGCTTACTGCAATATAAATCCTGTACAGAACTGATTAAATTCAGGAAATCTGACTTCTGCATTCAGTGTTTCCTTTGGATATTACACCGTATTTATTCCTTTCTGCCATGTTAGCCGCACACCAGCATGGTCATCTCTCGTCTTTCTTCTCAGCTTGACTTGAAGCTAGCTAACAGAGCCACTCATGAAACTCCAAGCAATTCAATTATATTACATGAAAGATATTTTATAATGTTACCCTTCCCGACTTCCCCCACTTTACCCAGTGAAAGAGGAGGAACAAGTGATGACATTATCAAAACATTCCTTAGGGTCAAACATACTCATGAAAATCACAAAATCCAACCTGGAAATCAAGAAATTAGACCAGTTTTCCTGCAGTGATTATTTCATTTTTAACAAAGGAGAAAGGTAGATGTTAGTTTACAGCATAAAAATCTGTTTACAGCATATAAAATAAGACTAGAAAAATGCATCAGCGTGAATAATAGTTCTTCATGACTAATAGTCTTCAAAACAACAAACAGCATTTGAGACCAGTGCTTGATTCTTTTTCAGCATGACATTCTTTCATTTTCAACTTAGAAACCCAGAGTTAATGTGATAATTATCAGCAAGTTGTGTCACTTGGTGGAATGCACAGTTTCCAAATGTTGTTTCTAAATATATGTATATATATAAATACACATATATATGGCAACCCTAGCACTTCAACATGAGTTTTAAGACCTGTGCCTGCAGAGAAGCAAAACAGGCAGGTGTGTGGTTAAGCAACTGTTGAAAAGTGCAAATGTGAGGGTTACCAACACAATCAGTTGCACTATTAAACTGTTAGAACTTCCTAAGGGAAAATGTAGCCTTAGGAAGGGTGGGTAGTCAGGCTAGTGCTCATGTACAACCCACACACAGCATCACTATGCTTGAGGATGAACTGTAGACTCCAGAATAGTCATTAGAACACTTATCCCTTGGAGCTCTATTCCAAAAACAAATTAAAGGGAACAAAGCTGTTTCCTTGTGTAGGGTTCCTTTGGATCAATCCAAAAAGAAACTCTTAACAAATAACAAATTATTAGCAATAAGTGAATCAAAAAAATCCAACAAAATAGTTTGGCTCCCATACAGATTCCCTTTCCTACCTTTTCTTCTTGATCACTGTCGCTGTCGCACTGAAACACAAAAAGGAAAAAAAAGAAACAGGTTAGAGAAATGTGCTGCAGCAAAAAAAAATGGAAGATTATTATTATAATCAGGATGGCTGACACATCGTAAGTCCCTTCGGTACCTTTAGGAAACAGCTCAGTTCCTGTATGGTAGAGAATCTTTCCACACACTTGTTAAAACCACAATTTGCAGGTTTGAATTGTGAAAACAACGAAAGGCACTTGCAATACCCCATTAGCTTAATGCAGATACATGGGAGCTGATGGTGCACAAACAAATTTAGACCCTAAAACTGGATCAGGGAAGAGGAAAAGCAGCAGAGACAGACGCAGCGTTCCCTTCTGGTGGATGATACTTCTCACACTGTTCCCCAAAAATTGGCTTCTCGGATAGGATGGCATTGAGAGTGCTCAGCTTGGCCCTTTGCAGCAGAGAAGAACTTACAGGGCTTCCTCTTCAGTCCAGTATTACTTAGAGGGTCCACCCCATGTCGTGACCTATGGGCATCACATTAAGGAGCTCAGGTAGATCCCAACAGAGAGAACAACGTGCCCAGGGAACTGACTCATTGAGGGGCTCAGTAATCCCAAAGGAGACCAGGTAACGTAGCAAACACAATGCTCTAAAAGGCCGAATAGTAACACTGGTGGGTCTTCCCAATGATCAATTGCTAATGCTTAATTTCTGGCAAGCATTTCAAAGGAAAGCACAAGGTCACAAAACTGCAGATCTGGGCTTTCCCACATCGAGGCCTTGCAGCCTGTGCTGTGTCCTTACAGAAGTGAGTAAAGCCTTTCGTACGCTTGCATCCTATCCAATGCATCTGTGAGTATTTTCATAAGGCAACCAAATTGCTCTGAAATTAGTAGCACGTTGTGAATTCCAAAGGTTAACTATGCAGCGGGACGTGAACAGACATAGCCTAGCACACCCACAAGATACGTGTTTGATTTGCACAGAGCAAGCCTTCTTTATGTTCTTGATTTGTACAAAGCAAGCCTTCTTTATGTTCTTTAATTATAACTTTTCTCTTTCATTGGCTTTTTCCACCTCTTCATTGGTACAGAGGCAGAGAAGGTACCTTCTCCACACCAATTAACTACATCCTGACAAATAAAAGCTATAAGCTTAAACAGTTCTTTTTTCTTTTTTTTCCCACAAATGTTTTTCAACTAATTTAAAATGAAGCAAAAAATAGATAAAATCACTATCTCCTTCCAGATCATTCCAAAAGAAATGGAAATGACATTTATTTAATAACTGAAATGACTTACACAGTACTAGCTGAATCTTAAACACTCTGGTAAGAAAAAACATGAGATGGAACATGAAGATACGTGACAGTTTTAGCTTAAAATTTGAAACCCTCACGCAGAGATCAAGTTTATGAAGGAGTGAGACTTAACTGACAAAAGGAGAACTGCACATTCCTGGTTTTGTTTTTACGGACTTCATCATGACCACATGAGATTTGGGGATGGGGGTAAGCACAGGCAAGTACGCTTGCAAAGCAAAGGCTGACATTTACAGATCAGCAAAAACATGCACAGATTTTCATCCACAAAAATCACAGCACATCACAAAGAATTCCCATTTACCACCTCTACTAGACAGTCACTGACAAAATTCAGGTCTTCATAGAATCACAGAATCATCGAAGACCTCTAAGATCATGCAGTCCAACCATGCACCTACCATCAGTCCTGCACACTGACCACCTCCTTCAGTGCCACATCTCCATGTTTCTTGAGCACCCCCAAGGACGGATACCTCACCACTCTTTCAGAGAAGGAATTTCTCCTAATACCCAACCTGAACCTCTCCTGGTCCAACTTAGAATACTTATCCCTTTCATTCCCATTCCCTCTCATCCACTTGATGAGATGGCTACAGCAACTCCTTCCACAGCTTGGTTACAGCCAGGAGCACCCAATGGCTCAGGGCAGCCTATGTAAGCTGTGTGCTCCGTAAGTTAGGATGCATTATAAAGCACTGAGGTGACACATCTCATGTATTTTCAAACCAAGGAGCTCAGAACCAATTCCTCCATTTGCTCATGCCCTCTCCCCACCAACATCCAATATTAGTCCAGACTGTAATACCTGAATCCAAAAGGACAAAGGTTCAATAGGGTATATATACACAAGGAAAAATGACTGTGTGCTCCCTGCAGGGTACAGAGGGCTTTGCGATGCCCTGGGCTCCTGCAGCACACGTGCCTTGTGACACACCTGCTGTCACAGTGCTCTGCAGCCACTCCTTTCCCCACCATTTGTGCCAGATTTAGGCAATCTCTCCTTTGCTGTGCGCTAAGCCTTTCCCAAATGGCGAGCTTGGAAAGAGCTCAGGGTTCTGTGTTTTCTGCAGCAGGGAGGTGCTTGGGCACAAGAACCCGTGCCAGAAGTGACATCTGAATTTGCCAGCAACACAGCTACCCGCATCCGAGCGGATGTGCAGAGAGCGGCGTCGCTGGGAAGTTATTTCCATCAAAGTGTTAAGCCTCCTGCTTTCTGACAGTCCAGTTCTAATTTCAAGGTCTGCTTAATTCCGCATCAAATAATTACTGCTATACCCACAAGCACCTTGTCTCCAGAGTTAAGCATATGGCGAAGGACTGAGACCTACTGGTGTCCATTATGGAAGCAGCACGGATGCCAAGCCGATTAAAACCACTCGGGCTCCCTGTGCAACGCGCCCGGTGACTGACAGCTCCGCGATTTGGCCGGTCGCCGTGGCTGCCAAAAAATCCTCTGCCGCACGGAGGCCCACATGGCGCTGTGCAAAAACCGTTCCGCTCCCGCTATTAAATTCCCACACTGACCCGAGGACTTTGCTGGGAGCTCAGCAGGAGCGCTCCATCCAATTTACAGCTCCGTCCTCCAGAGCCCTCAGTGCCAGCCTCTGGCAGACACGAATGATGGTCAAACCCCTCCAGCTCATAAATTATGCAAAGGCAATAAATGCACTCAGCAAACAGCTCCCAACGTTTGCCTAGCCTGGCTCCAGCTACGCTCTGCAAAATGCCAGGAGCCCTGCACACACAAGGCATCTATTTCACTCATAAAGAGGGTCTGTTGGGGCGTGAGGAGTGGGGACCTGCAGCCCCACAGCACTGCTCCAGCAGCACAATTTTATGATGGATGCGCTGCACAAAAGGAAAAAGAGGAGGGATGGGAGGAAAAGGCTTTATGCACTGCAGCGGGGCTGTGTTTTTGTGTGGTGTATGCATACGTGTGTGCCCATGTGCAGGCATTCATGTGGATGCTCTGCACAGCCACGTAAGCTGAGCTTTCCCCATGGATTAAACACATGGATTTCCTCTGCTTCATGGAAAACAACCCAACAATTTTTGTGCCAGCGTAAGTCCAAAAAGACCTGCAGAAAAGAAAAGGTCTGCTGCTCAGGCTGGACGCTGTGAATGAGAGAATTGTGTGTTCCTCCCATGCTGGTTTGCTGTGCAAGCATTCTGGGCTTCTCCCTTAGACCCACATTTCCCACTGGTCCTTACCCTGATGTGCCCTTTTGCACTCCTGGTTGCATTTCCTTCCCCAGGACGCTAAAGCACAAGGTGCTGCCATCTTGCTGCTAACCACTCCTGGGGAACAGGCCCTGCAAACCCTGCAAAGCCCTGCAAAGTGACAAGGAGACACTGATCATTCAGAACCACCGGACACCTCTGAGGAGTTGATCTGCACCGCTCACTGCCTCGACTGCTCCAGCGTCCCTCTGCCTCACAGGGACACAGAAAAAATGAAATGATTTAAGGGTTTTGAGATCCTCAGAGCAGAAGCACATTGAAAAGCTATACAGTGAAGCAGGAGAACCACGTTGTCTTCATCTTGATTTAGCTTGCTACACAATCACAGAATTGTTTGAGTTGGAAGGGATCCTTAAAAGCCATCAATCCCAACTCCCTGCAGTGCACAGGGACACCTACAGTTCCATCAGTGCTCAGAGCCCCTCCAGCCCAACCATGGGTGTCTGCAGGGATGGGGCACCACAACCTCTCTGTGCAACCTGTGCAGTGCCTCACCACCCATAGTGTAAAACATTTCTTTCTTATATCCAATCTAAATCTCCCCTCTTTTAGCCTGAGACCATTTCTCCTTGCCCTATCAATCCCTTACAGCTTAGCTACTAGTTCTGTTACCTGGCAGATTTCACTGTACTAATAATCAATTCACCTTTATTCTGTGAACAGTTCAGAAAAGTCTGGTATTTTAAGGATTTCAACACAGCAACATTTCCAGCAGGAAACCTCACCTAAAGATGTGCCATGACTGGACACAAAGGCAATGGCCATGGATAGCAAACTAAGCCTGCTCATACCAGATGACAATTGAGATATCACTCATCTAATAATGGCAAATTAATGGAATACAGTGGACGTGTTTCTGCTCCACGATCCCAACATTCAGAAGCAGTTCTGCTTTTCCAGCGTTCTAAAATTCCTCCAAAGCTGTGCTTTCCAGTGTGAACAGGTGAGTCTGTTCAGTGAGCTCTGAAGGTAACTCCCACATGCCAGGTCTGCTGCAGGTGGGAGATGCTCCTAAGAACAAGTCCCACTCAAATGTTATGCACCAGGCATTTAGAAATTAAGTGATGCAAATATCACATGCTGGCCTTCTACTCTGGGCTGAATTTCAGTATTTTCTGTCTCTCACAAAAAGATCAGCTTCCAGCCTTGTTTCAGGAAGCCACAGCTCTGTCGCACCTGAGTATTCTGCAAATAACTGGGAATCCAAAATATCACTCAGAGATGGCCTGATTATTGGATAACTGCCATTAGCTTCAATGCAATAAATCGGGGTGAGGAGTCTGCAGATGCTTTTACACCTGAACAAGCAGAGGCTCCTTCCCCTGATGCTCAGTGCACACAGCTCTCTCACTGCACTGCCATGAGCAGAGACTGCTTGCAGACATGTAGGACTGGCTCTGCAAAAAGCCCAGGGCCCCATTTCCCAATGCTGGCCCACGTTAGCGAAAATCCAACCAACCGCTCTCA